CTTGTTGAACCAAGTTGTGCTGAGGCTTTTTGTAAACATACTAACTATGTATCTAAATGGTTTGGATCTTTGTGTTCCCTTTCTGATCTGATTGGTTCTGAGGAAGGTGTTGCCTTTGGGAAACAGCTTGCACTAATGCTGGTGGACTGCACGCCCTTGGTGGGGAACTTCTTTGAGGGGTTTATCGATCTTGCCAATGACCTCAATGTTCCATTGAAGTATGCTCCCATCTTTGCTGATGATTCTGCTGAAGAGTGGTTCTTCAGTTATTTTCAGCAGGAGCTTGTTCGCCGCTTCCAGTTAAATGACTTCAAGATCCGCAATGTTGACAGGCACAGGTCAACAAAACCCTCTTTCAGTGTCTCCCTCCAGGGTTTACATGTGTGTTTTCACAATCAATTCCCAAGCCATGTCTTGTGCCCCAAAAGCTCTTCATTGCAAAAGGTTGGCTGAAGAACCGCCGCCAGCCCACATGGAGTCCAAGCCGGAACCACCGCTGCTCAAGCGCTGTGTTTGGGGCAAGGTTGGGAGTTGGGAGAATGGGTGTTCTTTTGCGTTTAGATCCAAACAATCAACATGTTCTACTTCCACACCCCAGCAACTCTCAGAGTGATAGATATACAAATTCAATCTCAATTCCATGTCCTTTAAAAGTATGGACTGCAAAACAAAATAGCAAATGTCTATATGCTAGAATTCAATTGGCAATTGGCCCTATTTCTACTGCAATCCAGCACCAGGTGAATGGTGAGATCAGCACCATTGAGATTCCGGAGGCAGAGGTGAAGAAGTGGTGGGGGAAGGATGAGTGGAGGGTTTTTGTGCAGGACTTTCAGGACCGACACCCGACTGTCAAGAAGTTGGAGAAGGCTACCCCCAAATCTTCTGGCACCACTCCATCCACCACTCCGGTCCCGAGAAAGCGCAGCCTGGAAGTTGACTACTCCCAGTGTGTTGTGGTTGAAGATGATGCTCCTGGCAGTGCCACGATCAAAGATGTTGGAATCTTGAATGCGCGCTTCCCAGCTGATAAGAAGTCGAATGACCTTCCATCATTGGTGGTTTCTGATGCCGGCCCCTACATCAAGAATTCTACTGGATTCACTGTTCCCTGGCAAAAGAACAGGTTTTGTCTCCCAGCCCAAACTGTTCAAGCAAAAAATAGAAATCTAGGGGGTCAGTACAGTAACTTTCTAATGGTGTGCTCAACCAAGTGAGGTGACCATTGCAAATGGATCTGTCCTTGCTGGATGGGGCAAAGGGAAATTCCGTGAGAGGGGGCAAAAACCATGTGATGAGAATGAGTTGGAGTTCCTATGCACCTCCGAAACCATGGTACACATTGACAATAAGTGCTTGAGCCTATCAGACCTCTTGGATTCTGAGAAGGAGTCTGCAAAGGTTGCATACTACAAGGTGTCCAAGGATCCAGATGGAAAATGGAACTTCAAGCAGGATGGGTCTGGGGTTGGTTGTGTTGTTGAAAGAAAGGGTTGTGTGTGTTGAAAGAATGGGTGCATATTTTAGCATTGTTGGATGTTTTTTGGGATGTTGGTTCTTGCCTCGGTGCTTTTGGCCAATGCCAGGAGCACAGCGTGATTTTCACCCCCCAACCAGAAGATGATGGTGACAACAAGATCTCCCAGGCCCAGATTGCAAAGGTGGCCCCAGTGAAGCATTGGACTTCCTTGGTGACCACGGTTGGATGGCATGTGAAGCGCACTCAAAAGGGGATCTCGCCAATTCGCCCCATTGTGTTGGTGACCACCGATGTCTCCCTTGACAATGGAAAGGTCCTAGTTTTGCAGAGCTGATGAATGTAGCTCTGGCTGTAGTGTGGCCATGTCGGCCATGCTCAATGAAAGAATGTAGGTTTTGCAAATGCCTTGTGGCCCCAGAGCATCCATAGCTTGTTACAGCATTACAGTAGATTCCAATGTCTTGTAACCATGTGGACTTCTTTGAACTTGCTGGGTGCCACAGAATGAGCCGAACGACCTTCCTTGGCGTCCAGCCTGAAAAGTTGCCACCTACAGCTGATGGCAAGCACCAGGGTCCCAGGGTGATGAACCACCGAATGGATCACTACAACCCTCATGCATTGCAGAAGTGAGATTATCTTAGTAGTGCATGTTTTTTGGAACTGGTATTTTGTGGCAACACTGATTTTGTGCAACCCTGCCAAACACCTGAACCTGACCAATGTGGCCGCCTTACCTCGAGAACTGTGTGCACCGCCCAGGCCACTCCTCCAGTGGTGCTGCCAGGACAATGCGCTTGCCTGGGCTGGAGCTGTTCCGGTTGGGTTGGGGTTGACTGGTACCCCACTTTTCATCCATTAACCTGTCCAATCTGGGCAGCCACAGTTGGCTGAATGGTATTGCCCAAAGATGATGTGCCCTGGATTGAACCAATGAGACTAATCCCATGAAGAAAAAAACACTTAATGAGACTAATCCCATGAAGAAAAAACACTTGAAAAGAGTTCAAAAGAACTCATGAATGAACTAGTCCCTTTGAGCTCACTGAACTAATCCCATGAAACTAACCCTTTGAGTTGAACAGAACTCATTACCTGTCCATATATATCTCTGGAGGGATGGATCCTTAACTTTAACCATCTTGGAATGACCAGTGTGTGTCTCTCTCTCTCTCTCTCTTCTGTGAGTGCATGGCCAATGTGTGCAGATTCTGGACGCACTGATATCTTGGCTTGGACATTGCCAGAAACGGAGGTGGTGCATGCATGGCCACTGAAAAGAGGCGACAGAAGAGCCTCAAACTTGATGGGAAGAGCAGGAGGTGCTCCTATTTGGCCTGACAGCTTGGGAACTCGCTTGAGTGATCGCGTTGCAAACTTGTGCGCTGCCAGTGGCCTGCATTAAAGGTCAAAACGACCAACCGCTGGCTGGGAGGCTACCGCAACAGAGCGCAAACTGTGACTGAGCTGTGGAGGGCCACTGCGAAGAACTGGGTGACGCAGTGAGGCAGCTTGTGTGCGAGCCTACTCAAAGATGACAGTGATGGCATCTCTGCGAGTGAACCATACATCCAAGCGCTCAAGGCGTCAATTGCGCAGAAGTGGCGCGCAGGTTGAGCAGTTGGCGGTGGCTTGAGCAGACCAGTTGCAGTCTGCATCTGCGCGTGCTTATCGACCCAATGGCAACCTTGTGGTGATGCGGGCGATGAAAATGTCTTGCCCTCACTGATGAGGATGATCTTTGGATACAGGCGCAATTAGTTGCGAGTCTGGTGAAGACAAATTTTATTTGGTGCCGCTCAATCGCAATGCTTTTGCTGATCTCTGTCTCTCTCTCTCTCTCTCTCTGGTGGGCATGGTCTGTTCAATCATCCCATCTGGCTGGCGTTTGGGCCGCTTGTGTGCTTTGCTAGTACCCTGTACTCTTCAGTGGAGACACCCCTTCTCCTGAAACACCCCCTCTCCCCAAGCAGTGCACCCCCCATAGTTTGGGTCTATCCTAATACCTGTAACAGTGGATGATGATGGTTAGTAAAGGCCTTGTTCAAAAATAGTTATAACTGTTTACTGGTTGTTACAGGTAGTACGACAAACCCAAACCATGGTGCACCTGATCCAGCCAAGCTGGTGACCCAGTTACAAAGGAATTCACTGAACCTTGGTGTGCATGCCTTGAGGTTCATCTCGACTAATTAGTGGGGCTTACTCACTGGAAACGCATTGACTGCATGAAAAGGTGTTGCCATTATGGATCCTTTCTGAAGGAGTTCCCAGAATAATGGCCGCGGCCGATTGAAAATGCCTGAGCTTTTTGGCTCTATTGATGGCTCAAGCTGGCTCAAGTTCAATTTGATTTTTTTTGGGCAAGAAGCCACACTCAGTGATTGATTTTTTTGTCAAGAAGCCACACTCAGTGGCACACTACTTTGTGATTTTTTACATCATACACACACATATATATAAATATATATACTCACCATATAATGAGTTATAAGGAACTCCTCCATCCGATCTCTGTTCTGCAACTGAGCTGCAGGACCATCATCAGCCAGTGCTGCTGGCAAACAGCGGCCGCCGACCGCCGCGGCAGTGGCCGCGCTGTTGGGTTGGGGTGGTGGTGTGGGAGCAAACCCTAATCAAACAAATTTATAAAGCAAACACCACCCACCCCTGAATCAAATGAATTCCAACCCTAATCACCTGCAAAACTTTTCATGTGTAAAATGATTGCAAGATAAAACGACCGTATTTTTTTGAAACGACCAAAAAAAATGGTTGTTTTCAAAACGACCAAAAAAAAGTGGTCGTTTCGGGTTGCAGGAAGACACATATGCTCATATGCTGCGAGAAAAGCGGTGGTGAACTGGGGTCTTATTAAAGTGAAAAGGACGAACACCATGAATATACATTGTTTTATCTGGCAGGACTGAGCGCTGTACAACATGGGGAGAATGATGGAGAATCCCTTACGAATAAGCTGTCACTTTACCAGTGAGTTGTGTAGCTCGGCCTACCTTGAGACACACAGACTCTAGACCCAACAAGCCATCCAGCAACCCCTGAGCCAAGCCAGCTGGAACTGGTAGGACAAGCTACTAGTTGGAGGTCTCTCAGTTTCAATCAATTCCATGTAATAGATGATGTCTAATATATTAGATCCTCTTCCTAGGACAAACAAATCATGCGAAATTCAAGGATCAAGTATTTTCAATGTGGCTTTGCGCATGAATTGGATTTGTTTGCTCCTAGCTGTCCTAGTTAGCCCTTGCTAGAATTTCCCTCACATCAAATCATCTGCCAGATCTGCTCAGATGCACTCAAACACTTGCCTTTAACCGGCCTGACATAAGTTGCAGGACCAAAGGCAGCAACAACCAGGTTTCAACCCACCAGTCCTGATATATTTACAGGCTGATAGATGCTTTCTTCTCACCACCTCAAAGGGGCGCCATCTACTTGGATACATTGAACTCCTGGAATCCTCACGACACGACGGATTCGAATGCGCGAACGGGCGCACCTGTGTGCATAGGCCCAAATCCAGAAGTGCGTGCACCGATGCAACCCCCTGTGGCGAGCCGCGGTCAGGTATACTAAAACGACAAGGTGTTCGATTGCGTTCCTTGCAACAAAAGACTCCAAGACGTTCGAACGTGGATCCCTTCAGCCACAACATGCCACGACATCACACTGATGTCGAAACCCACGACATCACATGATCATAAATACCTCTATGGCCCTTGGACTAATTAAGGTAGCTGAATCTGCTTGATTCTGCTGCTGCTCTATACTCATTATATTATGTCTTTTCATCAATCACTTTGTGTGAACAGAAGGACCTTCTCCCGCCCATCCCCACCAACAATCTCCCGTGTTGTTCAACAAACTCGCCGGCGCTTTGCAGCGTCGCCAACACATCTCATCATCTCAGTGAGGTTGTCCCCCAACCATTTCGATCCGTTTGGTCAAAACTGTTGACCCACATAGCTTTGACCCACCGAACGCGCCAGGAAAACATCGAGGGATGGCCTTGTCTGCACATGTTGGCTGATGCATTCGACAAAGGAGCTGTGCCTCAGAAGGCGTGTGGTCGGAAGAAGGCGACGGACCAGTTCGGCGTGTGGTCGGGGGGATCTGACTTGGGGGTGGAAGGGTCAGAGCTGCAGTCGGTGGAGCTGAAGTCTTGGGGTCAAGTTGGATGAAGTTGAGTTTCAAATATCTGGGAACTGGTTGAAGCAAACTGACCAAAACAAATGGCAAGCAGCATCCAAATCTGAATGATCAAACATCAAACATCGACGACCTCAGATTCGTTGGCGGATCCTCGCAGGACCCGGCTCACCGGCACGGCGATGCGCCGTCGTTTTCTGCGCAGTGAAAGCATGCCCAAAGCATTTGACCTGGAATAGTTACTTGCATTAGAGCCATAAATGGAGTGAAAGTGATATGTGTGTAACTATTCCATACATAGAAGGCTTGAGGTCTGAGATGAGTCATTCAATGCATTTTTGGAATTCCCAGTCGCACCCGAGGATCTTCGGGGATACCTGGGGCTTGAGTCGCCAAACGCAAGCAGTGCTCCCTCCTTCCGTGCCCGAGCCGCAGTTGTGACCAGCAATGGCTCACACACCAATTGGCTGGCTGAGCCTGACCCAGGTGCCAGGTGCTCGACCCAGGTGCCAGGTGAAAGGCACGAAACAAATTTTTGTGTTACAGTATATATATATATTAGATAGTTATTATATATGTTCTTATATTTTGTTTTTCTGGAGATGGGGGGGCACAGATGAGAACATTCTGAGATGCCTGAGACTGCTGTTGGGCTATTGTGCTCGTTAGGTTGTGGGTCTGATACCTGGGATTGGGAGCCCTGAAACACATTCTGGCTCCTTCATGGGGCTGAAAGAACAGCGCTAGCTATCGCAACCAAGTTTGCTAAAACAAAAGAGGCGATGAAGCTATCCCATTCTGAGAAAACCCAGCCCCCGTCCATATTCTCAGTGATGGCTTGACGTCCCATGCACCTAATCAAAAAGAAGTCTGCTTTCATGGTGCTGAACCTGCGTGAGATGTTACAGTAATGAAAGTGTAGAAAACGCGCGCACGTTTTATGCAGAAAACATTTGTTTCCATTCACAGTCCTTTCCATTCCGCCTCGTCTCAGCCCGTCTCAACCGTTTGAATCTACGGGTCCCAGTCAGTGAACGGACAGACTCTGCGTGTGGAGCGAAACGAGTCTGTCTGGGCACCCACAAGGGCTTGACTGACCCTTCCTTTCTAAAGCCTTCATCACTTGGGTCTATCCTACTACCAGTAGGACGTAGCGGTGCACGATGATGGTTAGTAAAAGTTTCTCTAAAATAAGTGGTATTTGTTTACTGACTATTACAGGTAAGTTCGGACAGACCTAACCTATCACCATACCCATTACATGCATGATCTATTTCTATCCATGTTCTATCTATTTCTATTTCTATCCATTTCTATGCGTCCTATCCGTTCTTCCTATCCCTTCTTCTATGCAGAGCCTTCCGCACGAAGAACCCAGAAACAAAACACACATCACCCGCGCCCCCCTCGACTGATCGGAGAGTTCCGGGTCTACCTGGTCGGCCATGAGTTCCAGAAAGGAGCTGCGGGAGGCCTCGATCGAACCGGGGCGGCGAAGGGCTCGAGCCCGTGCCCAGAGCTGCCCGTGCGGGGCAGCTCCGTGCAGCTCAGGTTTCGATGGACAAAACGGACTGGAGTCGAGGTCAAAGATGGAAGCATGTTCACTGGTTGGGTTGGTGGTTTCAACTCACTGGTTGGTGGTTTCAACTCACGAGTGAAACTATTGAGTCAGTGGAGCCGACTGAAGACAAACACCTCCAGTGGAACAGTGTTCAGACTGAAGACAAAACAAAAGAGCTCTGGCCACCTCCTATAGTCACATTTTCCAATCTCAGTTTGAAGATATAGCTTCGTTCCCACCTGTTTGGCCTACGAAAAGAAACGAGTTCCGAAGAAATTAAGGCGTTGAGGGGGTGGTGGTGAAGCCGCTGGTTAGAAGGGTAGGGACCTGTGCAGCGCACGGGAAGATCACTCGCAACAGGTGCAGCTACAGTGGGAGCTTCCCTGGGTTCCAAGCTCGTTCACCTTTGCACGAGTGATATAGACATTCTCCATTCTTGTTTGTTAGCCGGGTTAGCTGAATGTGCTGAATGTGAGGTTGGAGGCCATTGCGATATTTCTGTCTACTCTCTGACGTAGTATTCTCTTATTCGTTCGATTGAATGAACCAGTTCTGGGCGATCTCGATGTCGACCGTCCGACGCCCAAACCGGCCCAGGTGTCCACCTTCTCCAACGGTCCCTGCCTCCGTGGCTGGCCAAATGAGCCAACTGTCGATGTGATACAAGTTCAAGACCTTGGAGTGGTTTCAGCCTTTTGCGGTTCTTTTCACCATTCAGTGGGGTTGACTCCATCCTGTTGACCAACCGGCAAGTCGACGCCTCTGTCACAGGTATGTCAAAGTGACCAGTCAAGGCCTGTCAGAGGTCTGTCAATCAGCAAGTCTGCTCTGGGGCGCGTACTTCCATACTCAGCGGTGTCTGTGGCATCCCCTGAGCCCGCCAAGGGGCGAGTCTGTCAGGGGACTGCAAAGACTTGTGCCGATCGGATGAGGCGATCAGGAGAAAGATCCAAGTTAAAACCAGTGAGCCCAACTTTCCTTTCCAGCACTTTAGAACAGCTTTGAGCCCGCCTAGCAGTTTGGTGATCAATCAGTGGACAAAAAGGGACCTCAGTTCCCACTTGGTGCATCAGTGATCTGACTGGATCCACAACCGCCAGGGTCCCGCACCGCCGCTCCGGCGGCTCGAAACCACCGCGGTGAAAGCAAATGGGTCGTCTTGGTGACCGCAGAACTGGAGGTTTGCTGCAAAACTCAGTTCTGCACGCTGCGCACGTCCTCTGCATTGTTACTGGAGGTGTCCAAAAGTCTAACTAGGTTTGGAATCTATATAGTTCTGTACCATTCCAAAAGCACCTCTAGGCTTCACTTCATTATGATCACTATTTTGAGGAGGCAGTGTGTACTGGAGTGAATCACCCTCTCGACCCATCCAACTCATCATGCCATGAAAATCAATGCCTCCCAGAAAACCCAAACCCCACAGATCGACCAAAAGTGGTGAGATCTGCTTCGCCTTTGAAGAATTCCCGGTGAGGTCAACCTCATCCTTCGGGAGGTCGTACCAATGAGAACACGCTTCTTGACAATACCTCGGTGGACGATGTTTCATTTCAAACCCGGCGAAGCCGGTCGTACGACAGCCGGCTGCGCCATGCCCCCTTCGTTGAGAAAAACAGAGCGCAGCTACACGTTCTTTTTTGATCTTTTTTGATGCGTCAGGCGCATGCTTGCGTTTCAGTTGCGTTTGGACTACGATCTTCCATGGAACTGTTTGGGGAAATCTGTGTAGCAGCTAGCTGCTAGCTTCCTGACTGCTTGATCGTATGAATATCCTTCGCTCCTCCAACCAGGATGAGGGCTCGAACCGTTGGGAGTTGTCCGACAAGGTTGATAGATAGAGGCAAGCCTTGATGAACGCCCTAAAATGCCAAAGGGCCTAGGATTCTCTGGAGATCAGAACAAATCTGCAAACAAATTGACATAGATTTTCATATACCCTGTATTCAGCAATCCTTGAAAAGGAAATGGTCCCTTTCGAGACAGTTCTTCCTCCACAAACAGGCGCAGTTCACTTCCATAATTGTTGGATGAAGCCTACCTACACGTGACATGTGATTCGCACTACACTTGACTGGACTCGTCTCGCTGTCCTTGAGATGTGCGCATCAACTTTGGTGCAGGATAAAACACAAAATGGGTTTAGTTAGGTCAATATCCCAAACAAATCCAAACAAACACCCTAGAAGCCAACAGAAACATGTACGGTTGTCTTCACCCTTATCTGGAATTCCATCTTGGTATCATATTCCTGTCCAATTCTTCTTGGATGCTCAGCATAAAAACGCTTCGAAGTGAAATTCAAACAACCACACTTCATCCTTCTTGTCTGGGCTGTGAACCTGCATTGTCAACATCAAAAGGTGCTTGGATGTTCTTGGCCAACTCAAACGGTTTCTTGGACGAGGGAGAACTGCAGCAACCTGGACCCCAAACAGAGTCTCCTGCCTACCCCAGCAAATCATTTGTTTAAAGGTCAACGATGATATAACGAATGTCTTTCGAACTAAATGTCTATTTCGTTTAAAGCTGGCATGTTTTGTTGGGGTGCCACAATCTCATGAGCAGTGCGTCAACACTGTTGAAGATTCTCACACAATGCAAAGGTCCGAGTTCCTTCGTGACCACCTGCTGGTCGGGCTCATCTGAGTTGCTTTAGGACTCGTCGGAGTTGTGCCACTGTCATGGACCTGGCGAACACCGTTGTGCTACGCCAACGAATGGGCTGGACGTACAACGTTTGGCTTCGTACTTGGGCAATCTTTAGGAGGCCAAAGATCGTTGAACGTCCCAAGGAGGTGCAAAGTCTGCAAAACTGCTAAGATGTTCAACCCGACACCAGTTTCATCCGTGTTCATCCTGTGATCGGTCTGACTCCACTCTGCCTGTCTTCAATCTTTGGAATGTAGCCCTTGAAGCGAAACCTGAGGAAACCGCGGCGGGGTGAGCGTTGGGACGGCCTTGGGATAAAAATCTGACCAAACCAGCCGACCAAGCAACACGACAGCTTGCTAAGGCCCCTGAGTCCAGCCAGACCATTCAGGGTCCGGTGGAGGGCCAAGCATATATGTAGGGAGTGTATATACCTGGAAGGGGAACCTGAATGACCTCTATTTTGGACCACCAACCACCAACATATTGTCTTTTCCTATCAAGACAATTCAACACAAAGGTTAAAAGGGTTCCAGGTATGTATATATAAATATATAAATAGACAGCACACATAGTCAGACTTTTATGGTGCACACAGCTATCCCATGCCTAATTATTGCAAACGTCTTGCTTGCTTGAACATCGAGCTCATTTAAGATACAGTCAGGCTCATAGTATGAACATATCGTGTAAGTGGATGGCGTGGCCCCTTTAAATGACCGTTTTCCTCTACAGTCAGGCTCATAGTATGAACAGATGGTGTAAGTGGATGGTGTGGCCCCTTAAGATGACCCTTTCCTCTACAAACCGGTGGTTGCAAGGCATGAATCCCTGCCACGGAAAAGAACAACACCAACCTCAATCCATCGGATTCCATCGGAATCGATTCTTGGATGTAGTTCATCGGTCGACCGCCGGTAGCTCAGTCCCCTCTGAGTTGTGAGACTTCTTCCCCAGGTTCTGGAGGTGTCCAACATCGTAATCCTGGAGATGTCCAACCGGACGACGTCGGAGGCGGGGTCGACCGAACGACGTCGCAGGCACCTTCGCCTGACCGTCGGGGTCGGTCGCTCGAGCTTGGAAGGTCTGACCGTCTGACCATCCCAGGACGTTCTGAACTGTTGCCTTCAAAGATCTTCCTGGATTCTGAGGTGTACTTTGATCTAGGACAAGTATGTTGTGAATCTCAATCTGTCTAAAAGATCTACCGCCTTGATGTTTGCTGAGAGGTACTAACAATCTATCCATGCACCTGGAGCTGAGCAGGACCCAAAATGCTACTGGCACTGATTGAAGGATTGTAGTATTGTAGCATTCATTTGTGTTCCGATCAATACACGTGTCCCCAACCTTGAAGAATGAAATCCAATGGCCCCTTTCTTTCGGTGTCCTCGCGTTTGGCTGCACCCAGTGCCTGCAGCGGGCCGAGGGAAGAGGATCGAAAAGTCGTGGTTGACACGAGCAAATGTCAAGGCCCAGCAGGGATTCAACCTTGAGTATATGCCAATGTAGACTCTTGATTAATCACCCCTCACTTTAATTTGACATCCTCTTCAAGCCTGGGGGCTTATTGATCAAGAGCCCACACCACCAGTCACGGTGTGTCTTTTTCCAACATGGAAGTCAGGAAGTGACACCATCACTTCGAGGCGAGGGGTGAGCGATGTGTTTGGTGGAATGTTGCTGGATGGTTACTGGTGAACTGTAGGTCTTGCAGGTCAGGGAGACCCCAAAAGAACAGTGATCCTCTTGCAGTCGGACCAAACGTCCCCCGCAGATCGCCGGGATATCCCTGAGGCCTGGCAGTTGATGTCCGGATCCACAGCCCTCTCCCTTCCGGCACGTCGGCCATCCGGCGCCACCTTTTCGGGCATATCTCTTTTGCTTGTTCACCACATCTGCCCATCATCTCTATGGCCGCCTGCTCGGCCGAAGCGCGCTTCAGCCGTCGGGCGCCGTGGCTTTCCACGCCCGGTGGCGCCTCTTTGAGGCGTCGGGCCGCCGAGGGCAGGTTGAGGGTCTCGCAGAGCCCGGCCACCGCCGTGGCCCGCAGCTGGTCCGAGCCTCGAGGAGTGACGCGGCCACCGGTGACCAGAGCGGTGACTAAGGGGAAGGAACATGGAGGAAAATGCAAAAATAAGTTCATGGATTTTGATCTTTGGACATTCTTTGGATATCGCACCGGCTAGTTTTGAACCATGTCGGCATATATATCCACACATAAAAAGACTAGAATGCGCGTCTGATTCAGTTCTAGTCGGACTGCAGTAGCTGTGTCCTCCAACTCTTGGTGTGAAATGAATCAACTTATAGAACACAATAGACATTTGAGCGACCGGCAAAACTAGGGGTCGTTTGGTGGGCAGCTTTAAGGCAGGTATCGTTTTTGGGATTGTTATCGCGTGTATTGTTCTTTTTAAAGCAAATCCTTCTGCAACATTTTTGGAGCTATCGTCTACATGTAAGTTGCTGTGGCAGGTAATTTTGCACATAAAAAGTCAACATATGGTAGTAGTAGCCGTCGTCGTAGTAGTAGCAATAGTAATAGTAAGAGTAAGAGTAATATAGTAGTAGTAGTAGTAGTAGTAGTAGTAGTAGTAGTAGTAGTAGTCGTAGTCGTAGTCGTAGTAGTAGTAGTAGTAGTAGTAGTAGTAGTAGTAGTTGGTGGTGGGTGGTGGGTGGCGCTGCCGCTGCCGCTGCCGCCGCCGCCGAAGTAGAAGCAGTGGCAGTAGTAGTGGCAGGTAAGTGGGCAGGTGGTTTCCGAGGGCATACAGACCTATGAAGTGGGTATCGTTTGGTATCGTTTTGGTATCGGTCTAAACCCACAATTGTTTCCCATCGAAGAAGAAGGATGAAGAAGGGACAGTGAGCAAACACAAAATGGACATGTCCAAATAGCATGGCAAACCATATGCAAAAAAGCCTTGGACATACGCTGTATCGAGTGTCAGTATCAATAGGCAAAGATAGATTCCAAGATGTGCACCGTCACAAGGCTAGGTATCGTTTTTGGGATTACTATCGTGTTTTCAAAGAAAATTCAAATTGCAATTGTTTGAAGAAATCTGAGTGCCGACCTTTAGCACTTTGCTTATTTAAACTCATCCAGAGTTCCACAACAAGTTCAAGTCTTGGACTAAGCAGGTGCCAACAGAAACGATCGGTGCCAATGCTTTTAAGAGGGAGCTGACTTTTCTATGTATATATTTTGGCAGTTCTTGGCATTGTTCAAGGTTGAAGTCTTTACCTCGCCAATCTGAGCCTTCTCTGTCTAAGCTTCAAGCGCACCACGCGCGGTAGCTGCCTGGCCTGCCGCGAAAAACACATTGCGCATTCTGAAATGAACGTGTCATGTAAATCCGGCGACTATTGCAGGGCGACCAATCGTGTGAATTCTAGTGGTACAGAAAGAGACGTTTCTCGAATATGAAGGCTAGCAATAATGGCCAAGAGTTAAAACCATCAATTTTCGGGACAAGTCCCAAAATGTCCCAAAGCTTCATTTAGTCACTTCCGATTCAGAGACAACCCCTGTGTCTGTCCCGTGCCGGATGTTTCAACCAAAGACTGACAGGCCGAACCGACATATATGCTCTGATCGTGCTCAGGAATTGCAAAGACACATGCGGCCTCATTGCCAAATGCCGGGAGTTTTCATGACCCTAGCCCGGCGAAAAGAAAAAGCATGAACAAACTGAGTCCAAGAAGCAAATGCAACATCAGAGTTCCCTGCTCTTCTGCACCAATTCCATGGCCTGCCACCACCCTGGAACCCTGGGCACCTCAGTGATGGCATGTTGGAGGTCGTTGCGTGCCTTGAGCATCGCATCCTGGCGGCCCCGTGACACGTGGCTTTTGCCAAGAAACATCTGGAAGGGATGTTTTTATTACTATTGTTTTCCAACACCTCGGGCTAGTTTTGACAAACATGATGTCTTGAAAAAAAAAACACATAAGAAATAAAGTAACATAACAACTATATTTGAATAATTATATTATACTATATTCTTCATATTTATACTACATATATACATCCATACACATCAAAATTCATTCTTGATTTATACGGTCTTACAATTCAGTTGTGTCGGGCCACCATGATGATGTGTGTCTAAAATCCATGCACAACGCTTTAGGCTGGACACAAAAAGTGTCTGAACGGCCACCCATGTGTCAGCTTTTATGGTAATTGATGCGTTCAGTAGCGATGTCATTGTCATGATGTCGTCGACCCCTGGATGATCATTGCATGTTCAGTGTAAAGGCATCATATACACGTTTCATATTGTTTAACCATATTTATTACTTATCATGGCACGAGTGTGTGTTTGTTGATCAATGTGGATGTGCAGCCCCCCATTTCGCCAGGACCGAACATCGCCATCGCAATCGTGACCGAGATTCTGCACTTGTTCTGTCTCATGAGGTGAACATCATTCCATTTCTGGCCTCATTTCTTCCCTGGGCACCAAATCAAATAGATGATAATAGATGTACATTTAAGGTTATATACTAAGGATTCTAGAAAGAGGCCAAAAGACTTCGGGGGCTGCCCCCGACTGGTTCTTTCAAAGGCGTCCATGCGCCATGCGAAAAAGGCGCCGCTTCTCCGGCCAGTGACCGAGGCCTCCCGGAGCTTGTCGGCGTTCTCCGTCAGCAGCGCTCCAAGTTCGTAGATGACCTTGGGCGCTTCGTGAAAGCCAATGAGTCTAGGAGAATTGGGATGTTACAATACAAGCTTGTATATATTGAGTTATCTTTTCTCTCATGGTTTTTCCTTCGAAGTACCGTAAAGATTCAGGATTGTCAGGATTCCATTGTACAATGAGCTGGTTGGCAAAGAACCACATAGAAGTCGATTGTAGCAATCGATTCATTGCGCTTCACAATCATGTTTTTTTTGACTTTGACAACATATACTTTGACTGTAGTGTTGTCCGTGCATGGTTATTCACCGATAGTATATGATAGCTGTGCCCCGCAAAGCTCCCGCAAAGCGCAAGCTGAACACACGACCTCCGATGGGGCGCTGCGCAAGTAGTACGCGGAAACACAACACATCCAAACAACCTACAGCGTCCAAGAGTCCAACCATCTATATCTTTCACAAGAAACTGCCTCACTCTGACGTCTGCGTCATCATTCGCCATCTTGCCCAAGCCCGACAAGGACCTGCCTTTTTTCAAGTTCTCTCTGGTCGGCCCCCCAACCCTCAGCTTGCCCTTGTCGGTGAAGGATTCCCAATTCGAATGCTGGAGCGCGAAGTCTCGCAGTGTCCACAAGCGGCCTGGGGCCGGAGGCCGTCGAGTGCCGCTTGCGTCGAGGCATTTCCTCCGATCGACCGGGGTCTGTGAGGCCCCACAGTGGGTCCACCAGTTGTCGCTTCTGAGAAAGTATTTGGGACGGGTTTGGAGGGTCCAAATACCTGAGAATGGACTTGGAGCCCTACATAGGGAGGCTCAAGTAATCACCCATTCCGGAGTTCGCGGTCCGAAGAGGACAGATTTTGCATGACACAAAATGACCGGCTGTCGCGGCAAACGTTGAAAGACACTTCAGAGGTCATGGTTTGAGAGCGAATTGGGCTGGGCTGAGAGGTCATGTCCGCCCATGCCACATATCTGCCATGCAAAAAAAATCTTCGAACTGTGTCTCAAAGACCCCCCTGACATGAGTCCTTGCCCTGCCATCTAGAGCTCACTAGACCCACCGAGCTTGCACTCCCGTCGCTCGGCGTCTTTGTGGGATCAGCTTGCACCCCGCCGCCACACGGTGGCCGAAAAAAGAAGCACCTGACCCTTCACCCTCCAGAGACGAAGGCCTGTCTACGGCTACGGGGTTTCAGTCACTTGGCCAATTCAGCGATGGTTTCGCTCGTCAACTAGACAACTCTAGTTCCACTTAGCAGCTTGGAAAAGAAGTCGTAGGTAGGACGGGTTGGTCGCCAGTTCAGTCAAGCTTCAGTCAGGGCTCAGCTGCGGCCAATGGCTTCGCTTCACCTATGGAATACAAGGGGCCTCACCGGGGACATGTGGTTTCTGTGCTCTGCAGGTCCCTAACTCTGATGGCCGTGGTTAAGACTTGGTCTTTTTGACACATTTCCTCGCTGGCCTGTTGGCAGTTTTGTTGACTCATGCTTTAATTCCTCTTTTCATTAACAAGGACATCAGCTTTCTCTGTTGAGGATCATTGAATCATATCTTAAGAATGGGCCGAATGTCGTAGAGTTCAACCCCGTCTGAAAACTATATAATGTCTTGAAAGGGTTTAGAAAATGTCTATTCAACAACAGTCGACAAAGCATGATATGTCATGATAGAATGGCATCTTCTAAATGTATTGATAGACCTCCAAACCCACCCCAAACATCTTGAGAAGGAGGCACTGGCACCTGAAAACTCGATCTCACATTCTACGCATTCTATAACTTTTGAATCCAACATGGTACCAACATGGTACCACATGGTTTCTGTGCAAATGAATGCCCAAGAGAGAGTCACGACAACTCTTTCGATCATCAAACTCCAAGCCCACAGTCTAATACAGTCTACCACTCTCTCATACTCCAGCGCCCCGGACTTGCAAATACATGTACTCCTGCTGAAACCGCGCAGCTGCTCGACTGAGGATCGGTTTTTCACGACCCAACAAACATGGGACATCTGACCCCAAATAAACACACCCTTGGAAATGGACACCGGTCTTCTGAATGCAGTCTGAGGTGTGATGGCCACATGGGACATCTGGTACTTGGATGTAGTTAGGCTAAGCAGCTAGTTTGGCCCATGGCTGCCATTGCCTCACAAAATCAGATGCTTCTCAAACCACCTCCACATGCAACAGGACCCAGAGCACATAAGCGCACATACACACATAGGCTCACACACCTACCCTTTTCGTCCTTCTCGCCCATGACCGGATCCCGAAGGCTCCTCCGCTTTGCCCACCCGTTCAGAGCCCTGCAGTTCGCAGCCTCCGCGGCATGCGCGCGTGGTCTCTCTCGCGCGGACGGACCCGAAAGCCCCCGGAGATCCGCGGAGACACGTCTCTCGTGCGGACCGGACGGAGATCCGCTGTGGACCCTGTTGAAACCGTGGGGAGCTTTGAAGTTGATTTGGTTGAAGACTTGTTTCGCTCCGCTTTTGGGGTCAAGAGTTCAGAAGGCGCGAGCCAGTCGCCGTTTTTGTTTGGTTGGACGAATATGTTCCGAAAGCCGGTGACATATTGGGACTCCGGAGCATGGAGCCATGAATCAGGGCTTATATATATAAACAAGTGACATATTAGGTCTCATGATTCATGATGCATTGCATTGAATCATCAATCAGAATCAGTTTCTGGAACTCCACTCAGACTCAGTTGAGCTACATCTTGCTGCTGACCAATTGCCAGCAAGGACACATATATTCACCTTCTCGAACTCCTGACCCGAGTAGCTCAGGAGTTCTCTCTCTCTCTCTGCCCCAAGGCCCCTGTAACTTTAAAGGCACTTCATGAGCCGCGCAAGGGACCTTTCATCACCAGCATGTGTTGAAATATTAACAAAAAACTCCCCAGGAGGCGGAAGAAGGGCGCCAAAAGACGATATGATATGCCATATATGTTATGATCTGACCCCCCTTGTCTGGTGGTAAGTCCTGGCAGCTTTTCCTTCTATAGAAAAAAAAAGGCTATGAAATACTTTGGGCATCAGTATTCTCTATAAAATGAATAGCCGTCCATTCTATAAAATGCATAGCCATATCCAGGCATATCCAGGCCTCTCAAAACCAAAAGACTACAGATCACAGCTTGGATCTATAAAATGCTTTGCCTTGAATCGATACCATAATATCACCTCCAGCAGACTGTAGAGTTGGCCTCAGAATACTGAGACCATATGCCCAGTCATTTAAACTGTAACACAAAACGCTAGGATTTCTATAAAATGGTTTTGCTGTAGAATCATAGACAATCATCGGGAACCAAAAGTGCGCTTTTTGTTTAATGAAATGAGGTGTCTCATTGTCTCACTTTGGCATGGTCTTAGCAGCAATCCTCCTTTCCCCAGTTGATCTTTCTATGAAATGATGTTGTGTAGATTTATGTTCCAATTTCCAAACTCATGTTTTTATAAAACGACCTGTGCCCAGACCATTTCATAGTGGAAACAAATACTCATTTCATAGATCGGATCAATCATGAGGGATATGATCTGATATTCCTTAATCTCCATCAGTCCCACCTGGGCCAAAAGAAACAGCGCTTCACTCCATTCACTGGGCTTCCCTTGCTGTGTAAGCGCGGAAGAAGAGATCGAAGTTCCACCGCGGATTGAGATCCCGATAGCTTCGGCCTCGTCCCGAGGATCGACGATCCGATCGGAGCCGAAGCGGTGGGGCGAACGGTCAGACGGGTCGTGTCCCTGAGGCAGCATTCTATCCCAAACACGACCCGTCTGGGACTGCCAGTCCGGACTGAGAAACGGCCAGGGGTGGTGGGTGCCAGAAGGGTCTGTCTGGGGCGGCAGTCCGTCCTGGCAGTCCATGGGAGTGTCTGGGTATTGGGAACACGTGAGTAACTGTCCTTGAGGGTCACCATGCAGGTGCAAATCTTCTTGTTGCATCCAAACACGGCGTTCGATGGCGAAGGGTTAAACTACCCAAACGGACCCTCCGTTTGGAGTGGAGACATCAACAGGGGTGATTCTTCAGGTCCTGACGTTGACCCATCTGCATCACTGGCAGCCCCCCCATTGGGCCGGTTTGTTTGATGGTCATGGCTTAAGCTCCCGACATCGTGGCTTCTGCTAGGATCACAGCTCCACATCAACGTTGCGAGCAATGAGACAACGGAAGCAAGTCCGTCCGCACTGTGTCAAGATCCGTATCGTGTACGTACAAGGCGTCTTTAGCTCTTTGCTGGCTTGGATTCTTGACCCGAGTATTTCATTCCTATCAAACTGATTGATCAGGCTCACACCCCTTGTCAATTTACCCCTCTGCCCGTCTTTGACGGGACGCAGGGCCGTGAGAAAATGGCTGCTACATGCCAGGCACAATTCATGGTACAGTAGGCAGTCGATTCTTTCAAACTGCGCTCCCTCAACCTAACGTGGAACAGAGTCTGCTTCAACTACCCCTTTCAATGAAAGGAGTGATGTTGACTGGAGTTGTTTGCGGCCTGTCGCGATGCCTCATCTGATGTCTTTTTACGGCGCTTCGCTGCTTCGTGGCATCGAACTGTTCGCGTAAGCTAAGACATCCCACAAAAAGGTTCCGGGGGCCAGATTCCATACTGCATCTAGGGCAGATTAGTAATTATGTCATTCCATGTCATTCCTTAAACTCTGCAGGACCTCTATCGTAGAGATGGAAGAACTGCTGAAATCAAAGCAGTCTGGCATCCAGTGTGAGACCCATTTGAAGGTCGTGTGCTGATTCATCCAAGAAGCTATTCTTTGTACATGTTCCAAACTCAGGGAACTAGTGTGTCCACCTGCAAGGAAATCGGTTCCAGGAAAACAAACATGAGAAGGTACGAGAACCTGCAAAAACCTCTTGAAATTCCAGCTTTCCCTCCACCACTTTCACTAAAGAAAACTTCCAAAGAACTTTGTCAGGGATCCCTCGCACCCCATACACAAACACACACCTCTGTACACAACAGTTGACACCCAACGCTACGAAGGACTACCATGGCTTTTCATGGCCAGAACACTGGCCCTCATTCGCCAGGCAGCGACCCCAGCATTGGGTCTGCACTGTTGGGTGTTCAGGTCAAACGCCTTTTGGCGCGAGGAATCAGAAGACAGAGCGCCAATCCGCCCAGGGCGAGGAAGCTCAGAAGGGTCAGCCTGCTCGGGCGAACCTCGGGCGGCTGCAAATAAACCGCGCGTTTTGGATGCAACGAGTCTTTTGCAGCTTCCCTTTGGATTTGCAAGCTTAGCTTTGGAGTGAGCAATTTAACTTAAATTGAAGATCATCCTACATGTGTTTTGATCACGGAATCCAATCTGTCCAACGATCCGTGGCGCTCCTATGCCTGTGGAATGTGGATTCATTTTGCCCCAGAAAGGACATTTCTAGCAATCCCTCTGGGATGGGTATCTTAGCTCCAAAAGATCTTTCACAACATGGGAGTTACCATCGCAAGGGTTGGTTTAAGTCAGTATGTTTTGTTTCCATGCAACGATACATAACGCCATATTCCCAGACGCTCCATGAGACTGCCATAGGACTGCCGATCAGGCCAGTGATGGTGGGTTTCGGGGGTCTGTCTGTGGCGGCAGTCCTATGGCAGTCCCAGACGGGTCGTGTCTGGATGTGTCTGGGATCTGTGTCTTGTTGTCGCTGCCGTCGTTCGTCGCTGCAGCACCCCATGGCCGGACCATTCTCCGCCATCGTTCGCCGCCGTCGTTCGTCGGTGTTTTCTCGACGAGCTTGCTCTGTGCGAGCCACATCGGCTGGGCTGGAAGTGGATCGCAAGAAGTCAAGTGGCGCCCTTTGGGGTCGCTTCCCATCCTCACCATAGTCACCATATAATAGTCATCCATAGCGATCCATAGTCCATAGATGATCATAAAGAGTCTAAACATGTCGAATCGGTTCTAGTGGCCTTTTTGTAAGGATGGGTATGAGGATGGCTAAGACTCCTAACCTGTTTGGGTGTGGCTTATAAGAGTAGGATGAATGACCCTTCCTCATACAAGGAGTTTTGACATGTTGTGATCATCGCACACCGCTTCCCGCTCTGACCAGACCAGGCAACCGTCTCAGTAGGCAGTAAGGAACTCTTCCTCGTGCGTGTTCCAGCGTGGATGTCGATGGGATTTCCAGCCATTGGGATGGTCGCAACTGCCCTAGACTTGCTGTCAGCAGAAAGGGAAGCAATCCAAAGATCCCGATCCCTGTGACAATCACCCCGAAAAAAGAATCACATGTTTCGTGAAAACGCCCTCAGAGCCAGTGTCGAAATTATACAATCAACATGAATCAACATGACTCAAAAAGTCAGCTTCATCTTTCTCCTCGGCTGAAACCACCAACGATCAAGCAAACCACAGACCTTCAGGACCTGCCTTGCAGATCTCTCCGTCTCTACCTGCAGGTCTGGAGACTGGGTAACTAGTACCTACAGGAGGACATCCAAGAGCTTAGCAATGAGGGAATAAGCTAGTTGAGCCCTTCGATTGTTCACTGCGAAATTGCAAATGACGAACTCCTGTGAAGCTATGATTCAGTGCGGACATGTTGATGCACAGTCTGCCAGGTCAACGAAAGCGCAGCAGCTCAACGAAAGGAACCCAATGGATCGTGTCGGACCCGTTTTTGGTTCGTACGGCACCTGGGGCGTTCACGGCGACCTTCGGAGAGGCTCGGAGGGCACCTGCAAGGCCTGCAGGACCTGCAGGACCCAGGTGCCTCGAACTCCGGTCGATTCCAGACCATGACCGTGGATCATCCATCGAACCCGACCGGGGACCTGGAGTTAGACGGCACGTGAGGGGGACGGACTCGGAGGATGTTGAACGACACCAACTGGGAAACCCATGGGTCTCATCCAATGAGGCTCCTTTCTGTGATCTGCACGAACCAGGCCACCGCGGAACAAAACAGCTGGGCCTTGGTGGGTTCGTCAGGTGGAGGTGGAGCCTGCCGCTGAACCAGGTGAGACAAGCTGTTATTATCATATATTATCACATATAATGTATATACACCAAAACACTCAATTTAAAAAACAATCAAACATTTACCTGTTGACTCCTTTTCAACCACCCGATGTAGATAAATCTACGATACATACTTACACTACATTACATTACATTACAATACATTACATTACATTACCATGCAATACATTACATTACATTTCATTACATGTCATTTACATTACATACATATGCATATATAAAACCTGGAAAGAGCGACAGCTGCCTGTTGTACCAATCAACCTGGCGCAATCAATCTGGAAGGTGGGCTCAATAAACCTGGCACAAGAACCTCCCGTCCAGCCTTCAGGCTGCACTCGCCAGTCTGCCAACCAGGACACCTCTCTTCCAGTGGGATCCCCTTCATTGCAGCTTCAATGTGTAGTCCTCAGCCTAGGAGAGAGCACACTGCCATATGCCATGGCGAAGCGGCTTGGACGTTCGAACTGGTCTCATCCCACCTCTTCGAGGCGTTGGTGGGGTGGTGCGAACACCGTGTTCGCTGGCGCTTCGGTGGTCGTGAATTGGCGCTTCGGCGTGGTCGCTTTGCGAAAAAACCTGACAACAACCGTCTTTGGGAGCGATATTGGGGCACAACGAACCGTCTTTGATTGAAATCAATGGCCGTCGACGCATCACTCCGAATTGGACAACCTGACTTCCGGTGCCCTGGAAAACGAGTTCAACCAACCGCTGAAATCCTCGGGTGGGACAAAACCCAGCAACTACAATGATAATTACATCTCTCATATCGTATGAAGACTGACTAGAACCCATTATGCAACTATTGAAACTTGAACTAAGAGCATTAGGTTATGGATGGAACCCTCAACTGTTGTGAACAAACTCAACAACTTCCCGTTGGCTGCTGTTGGCTTCAAGCAGTTCAAACAAGCACACTTCGCTGGTTTTGCCTTTCCCAAATGTTTGTCGTTGTATGATGTATGTGCATTGAGCAGTAAAGCACTATGTGCATTTTATAGAGAAAAAGTCAATAGATGCCAATAGCAATAGCAATAAACAAGTGTGGCTGTTTGTTCAGAAGAGCCCGTACCAACAGCCCAAAGGCAATGTGAATCATGAGAGTTCTTCAGTTTGGGAGTTCCTAACTTCCTTCAAGCATGACCACACAGTAACATTCCTTGAAACGAATTCCTATCCGATAAGGCCATGCTGCTATGAATGCGAAGAAGACTGAAGCTATCCCGGCTTGGATTGTTCGAGAAGCACCACGTTTCGGGCGTTTCATGGTGTTTACCGGGTTTCGAAGTCACCTACAGTAGCCGCTAGCCAGCCAAATAACGTTCACAACAGGTCAAGGATCAGTTCACATGAGCAAGTAGTTAGTGCACACAAAGCACATGACCACAAATGCTTGAGAAAACGAGCGCTTCCCAAAGACCCTCTAGGCACACGTTTCTTCCTGCCGTCCATGGGCTTTAAACCTTGAGGCACCAGAAAGTGACATTTCATGACTAATGAGGCATCAGTGCATCAGCATCAGTATTGATCAAACACGTATCCCCTTGGTGGAAGATTTGTGTCGACCTGATCTCTTCCTACAGACTCCTATGTTGAAACAAGACCACACGTCACCATTCATAAACTCAAGAAAACATGGATGGGAACCTAGGGAATCTGGGACGTCCCTCGAAGATCTGGCTGGATCATGCAGCATCTGTTTCTCAAAAGCAATTGTATCCCCATCCGGTGTCTTTTTGATTGTCTTTGATGGTCTTGAAGCTGAGGTGCCCAATAATGGTCATTAAACATAAGACCCACCCACCCTTTCCAACACTTGACCCAAAAGCATTCAGCACTTCAACATTCTTTAAACAGAAGTTGACCCAAAAGTATCTAAAGGCCTGCCTTGGCCAACCCCCCCCCGCACCAGGATCCCCCTTCTGGAGCTGCGGGCCAATCCAGGTGCGCTTCCCACAGATCTGACAATTGCATGATCGACCTCGGCGTCTTAGATGTGATCCGAACTCGAAGTCTAGTCCACTAGTCTATGTGTATGTATATATATATATATATGCATGTAATGAATCAAAAACAAATGTAACAAATGAATGAGTTCGACTCTGGGTCGTGAACAGCAACATGGGAAAATTGTGAGAACACATATTAAGACTGTTAACACCATATAAAGGGATCATGT